TAGAAAAGGCAATACTGTGGAGAGAGCAAAAAATCATTGCTTGCCAGGAGTTGGGGGAAAAGAAGAATGAATGGGCAGAGCACAGAGGATTTTTAGGGCAATGAATATACTCTGCACGATACCATAAAGATGGCTACATGTCATTCATTATACATTTGTTCAAAGTCAAGAATGCACACCACCAAGAGTGACCGCCTAATGTAAGCTATGAGCTTTAGGTGATTATAATGTATCAAGGTAGGTTCATCAATTGTAACAAATGTCCCACTTCTGGTGGGAGCGAGGAACACTATGCATGTATGGGACAGGGGTATATAGGAACTCTCTGGACCATCCTCTCAATTTTTCTGAGAACCTAAAACTGCTCTTTAAAAAAATTAAATCTTAAAAACAAAAGTTGTCTATGCTCCCTGTTTCCACGTCCTCTCATTGGTCCATCACTTGAACCTGCTATTTCAGAGGTCCCCACTGGCATGGCTGCTACTTCCCATGGCATGGATATATTTAGTTCTCGTCCTGCTTGACCGGTCTCTGACCTCCTGACCAGTCCCTCCTCCTTGAAGCGTCACTGCTTCCACTGACTCACCCTTTCTGCCTCCCTCGAAGGTTCTTCGTCCTCTGCCCATCTCCCAAATCCTGGTGTTCCCCAAGGTTCTGTCCTGGTCCCTTCTCCCTTCTCCCTCTACAGATCACTCGTATTTGTGGCTTCAATGTGCAGACTACTCCCCAATCTGTATCTTTTGTCCCAGCATCTCTCCTCTGCTCCACAACTGTATTTCCAACTGCCAACTAGACAAATATGTTCAAATATGCCTCCGGCATCAGTATATTTAAACCTGAAGGCAACATCTCAGTTTCCAAACTTGCTCTTCTCCTGGGCCTCTTGCTCAGGAAAGGGCATCGCAATCCTAAATCAGAAATCTACACGTCATCCCAACCTCTCTCCCCTCATCCCTGTCGTCCAAACAATCATCCAGTCCCGGCAATTCTACCCCTCAGTTACCTCCATGGCGCCTCCCAGCCTGTCGCCACGCAGTCCAGGCTGCCGGCAAATCTCTCCTGACACTGCAACCTCATCCTAATCATTTCCTCTATCTCTGGTCAGGATTCATCAATAGCTCCCCTCTCGAGATACACTCCAGCGCCTACATATTACTCCAAGGCCATCCAGGACCAGCCCCTGCCTGTCTCGCCATCTCTTGCCACTTCTTCCAAGCATTCCGTGCTCCAGCCAGACTGAATTCCTTTAAATTCCCGGTGCCCTGCTGCACTTCTTCCCTTTCTGGCCCTTTGCACACACTGTTCTCTATACCTAGAACACTTGTTCCCTTAGGACCCTCCTCTCCTTCAGGCTAAACCCTCCATCCTTCAGTTCTCAGACCAAAGGCCAGTTCTAGAAAGTCTGCCATGATCCCCCTCCCCGCAAACTAGGTTGGAAGCAATCACTATACTTTATCATTGTTGTTCATCCCATTTTATGTCTTCCCCGCTAGATCCCAAGTTCCTTGAAGGCAGGACTTCTGCATCCTGCCAATCACAGTAACCTGGAGCCTGGCAGAGCCTCAGCATAGAGAAGCTTGATAAAGTATCGAGAACATGTACACAAAGCTTTTCCTAATCCTTACTTTGTGAAAACATATCCCCACTTCATTAAGGTAGAAATCACAGCAGTTGGAGAAGCTAAGGACAGAGCAGAAGAGGGATTCATCCAATGTTTTTAGATGTCAACCAGCGCTCTTTCCAAGCTCCTGGTTTTCCAAAGCTGGATTGCCTTGGTACAGAGAGAAACTTACTTTTCTTACATTTTAACTCACCTAAAAGAGGAAAGTGGCAACTGTTGATAAGACAATGAACACAGCACTGCAGCACAGTTCCCGGTAACATTAACTGTTATTGGGGCAATACCACAATCCTGCAGTCCTTTCAAGTAATTCCTGGGAAAATTCCTCAACTTACTTTCCTCTGTAAAGATTCACTATTCCTGCCTTGATCACCCTACATAAAATCCGCTTTCAAACCATCTAATATTCTCACCAAAGTACAAAAAAATTACAAGGATCAGCCATGCAAAGACTATAAAGGAGACGTGAGGCCTCTCTAACAAGCAGAATTCCAAATGCACAGAATGAACACTGTGTTCTGATCCTGACAGAGCCAAGGAATCTGGAGAAATTAAGAAGTGGATCACACTTTAAAGAGTCCTGGGCTTCCCTGGTGGCGCAGTGGTTAAGAATCCGCCTGCCAATGCAGGGGACACGGGTTCAAGCCGTGGTCTGGGAAGATCCCACATGCCGCAGAGCAACTAAGCCCACAACTACTTGTGCGCCACAACTACTGAGCCTGTGCTCTAGAGCCCGTGAGGCACAACTACTGAAGCCCGCATGCCTAGAGCCCGGGCTCCGCAACAACAGAAGCCACTGCAATAAGAAGCCCGCGCACCACAATGAAGAGTAGCCCCTGCTCACTGCAGCTAGAGAAAGCCCGTGTGCAGCAACAAAGACCCAATGCAGCCAAAAATAAATAAATAAATAAATAAATTTTAAGAAAAGAGTCCTAACACTGTTGCAGAAAACAACTTCTTAGATCATTTAAAATCCAAAATTTAAGAAGCAATGCATACGTAGGCAACAAATTCAGAAAAAGCAACATGATCTGGCACTATACATGTGCATGCTCAGTTTGGGGTACATTAATTGTATTTTAGTTTCTATTTCAGTGTGTGTTTTTCTTGTAACAAATACATGAAGTGACAGAATTTTTTTTACACTTAAATTCGTCAGCTCCATTTTTTTGGTCCCCACTTGGAGCATCGATGAAGGAGGTACACAAACACTTCTGGCCCCATTTCATTCTTCATCACTTTGAGAAATTACATATGTGTAGAAAGTGAATGAGGGTATATTTTTACTATCAAACATTATTGTTATGGGATTTATATAGAAGTTGACAGAAAGTATTATTTACAAAAGTAAATAGTACTACAATGTAAGTCGAAATTTTCTTCGATAAATTGCACTTACTCAAATGCACTACCATCTCACACACTGATCTAGGCAGGAATGCGCAGTCCAAAGCCAATGCCCAGACATTCATGTCCTTAGAACCCTCTTCCACTTATCCTTTTCAGCTTCTGACTTTGATATCGAGGCCTTTTTAAGCATCAGAATCAAAATGTGTTACATCATCCCCACCTGCAGCCCACACTCTCCTCTACCCACCCAGCCCCGTACCCAGCTCTTCTGAAGAAGCAGCAAGCCCTAGTGATATGAACTTGTACCCGGCATCCCTTTCTGGCCAGGACTTGACCTCTGCCCTCACCAGGTGCCCAGGAGCTCACACTCTCTCAGCCTAAGCCCACCTCACTTCCCAGGATGTAATCACAAAAGTCTGACTGGCCTTGAACTCCTTTGACCTGCCATCTCCAGGAACGAGCCTTTATTTTACACTGATGTCAGAGTCACTGTATACACACTACACGTATCTCCACCTCTACCTGCCTGGGAAAACTGTGTTCTCCCCTTCATCGCCCTGTTTGGGGCACATAGCAGAAACACAGTCAGAGTGGGTAACTGGAACATGTGTTTAACTTAAGGCAAACTGTCCTCCGGACTTGCCCTCTTTATATAGCTCATACAAAACAAATTTATACTCTTAAGCAGGTTGTCTCAGTTGCCTGTCTTACAAGATAACCTATGGATAATATTAAACCTTCTATTCTCATCTACCCTAGATATTTTTATCTACTTTTTACAAAGTTTTCTCTTGAACTTCCTTAAATCCAGACGTTATGACCGTAACTTAGGACTATAAAGCAACGCAAGTGCCCTAGACAAGCACACAACATTTGGATTATCCGCACACAACATTTGGATTACCCGCATGTCTCTGCTGCGGTGCTGTGTCTACTCCCCTCCAGCTACAGCATCCTTGCCACCATTCTCCGCTGGGCTTCTCTCTATGTCTTGACTTTCCCGCTGAGGTGCTCCTTTTCCTGGGCAACTCCCGGCAAGCTTGAGGATTACATATACTGTTTACTTCTCCCTTTCAAGTCAGGACCCTCTACCTGGATGGCTGCAGAAGCCTGAACTGAACGGACTCAGCTGGTGGCCGAGCTCTTGTGAGAAATTAAGACTTTCCGTAGTTAATTATTAAAGGCCCAAATCCACAGTTCAGCCTTCCTCACAGATCGGCTGCCATACTTTCCCAGCTTCTCCCCAGGGAAGTCCTCACTGGTGATGGAAAATCTCACTTCCTTGTGCTGTGCTCTCCTTTCCTACATGAGAATCCACTCAGGCTTTCTAGAAGTCACAGCTGTACCTGCTTCATCTCATCTGGATTAATAATCAACCAAACCGGTGACCCAGCAGCACGCCCTCAGTGACCCCATTACCACCAATGTCCTTAGCACCCATTACCTCCCTACACTTAAGCTGAAGGAACTTATCCCAAGCGGACTGACTTGTGTTTTGTTAACTTTTCCCCTAGACTGTTCATGTCAATCGTTCACTTTTCAAATTTGCAGCTGGGATTCGACTTTATGGAATTGAGAGCAACAGGGCATCATTTCTCACTCTTTGAAGGAAAGGGTCGGCCAATTTCCCTTGGGAGCTTCTCAAAAAGGTGAGAAAAAGAAAGGTCGAGAACAATGTGGGTTTTAACCAGTCTTCTGGTACCTTCAGACCCAAACACTCCCACGGAGGGTATCATGACTGTCCTGTGCTCCTGGAGAAGCACCGCGCACCCAGTTCCTGACCGAGCCTACGCGGACACTTGGTCCTAGTTTAGAAGTAACACCTGGGTGAGGGATCCTGTCGTATAAACCGTTGGTGGCACCGGGAAGCAAGGAATAAAAAGCGAACACAGAAAGAACCCAGAAGAGAATCCCAAATACCCAGAGCCTCCTCGTCTGCCGTCGTTTCCTGGGAAAAGCGGGCTGCCAAGCCTGGGCAGGAGCGGCCGGGCCGCGTCCCTCCCGCCGCGCGCCCACGCCGCCTCCTTACCTTGCGGGAGTACGGGGGCTTGCTCAGGTGGATGCCGTCGCGGACGAGCTTATCCCTGATCATGATCTTCAGCTTCAGCTTCGGGTAGCTCACCAGCTCCCTGCCGCGAGGGGCGGTCGTCAGGCTGCGGGGGTCCCCGCGGGGGCCCTGGGCCTGGCCGCCGCAAGGCTCCCCCCGGCGGCGAGTGGGGACGGCGACCGAAGGCGGCCCGGGTGGCGCGGGCGGCGGCTGCGGCTCCAGCGTGAAGTAGAGGCCGGCGGCGGCGGCGTCCTGCTCCCGCAGCCGGCGCACGGCCTCCAGGATGCGACGCCGGTGCGCGGGCGCCAGCACCCCGATGGCGTCCAGGTCCGGGTCCCCGATCTGCTTGCACACCTCCAGGTCATCGTAGCCGTTATCCACGAAGGACTCCGCGTACTGCGGGAGCTGCAGCGCTTTCAGCCACTCGTAAACTATGTTGGTGCACATGGTGGGACTGGAACCCCCGCCGGCAAACGGCGTCCCAGCGCCCGAGCGGCACGGCCGGCACCAGTTCTGAGAACTTTTAATCCTCTCCTCCAAAGGGAAAGAAAAAAATCTCAGTGAAGTTTTCCTTTTAAAGAAAAGGATAGGGCCGGAGATAGAAAGCCATCAGAAGCCTGAAGAGGGAGAAGCGGAAAAGCGGCAAAGTGAATTCCCCAAGCAGCCTGGAGCTCGCAGGCACTGGCGGCTGGGGGAGCCGCTCCGCGCCGCCCCTAGATTCTCCGCCGCCGCCGCCGCCGCCGCCGGCGCCTAGGGGAGGGGCGCGCGGCGGGCGCGCGGCGGGCGCGCGAGGGGGCGGAGGAGGGCGGGGCCCGGGCACACCCCTCGGACCCGCGCGGGGTCAGCGGCGCGTCGCGCCGCCCAGGACTTTCCGCAGCCCGGACCGTCCTAGGGCTGCGCGCCGCATCTCAGTTTCTGGCCGCCGCCGTTGGCGTCTGAACGCGCGCCCCACGCTGCGGAGGCAGCTCCTCGGCGCAGATCCGCGGCCGCCCAGGAGCGCCTCGTCTTCGCTAGTGCGAGTCACTGTCGTCCTCCTAGCGGAGAGGGGGTGTCTCCTAAACTGCCGGGCTCCCGCGGATGCCTTGGATTGCTTTTCACATTTGTTTTTAATCCGCTTTCTCTAGCTCGTGGAAATCTCTGCGCTCACTTCTTCCCGAACCTCTCTGGCTGCAGCCTGCGCGCTCGCCGGTCGCCCACGGGCACTTCCCCAGGCTGGGAGAGGCTGGGAGAGGCTGGAAGGTCAAGTTTCCCTTCTCCTTTCCCGATCCGCGTTGGATCCCCCTTGCTCGGAGCCCGCGCGCAAGGCCGGAGCCCGGCGTTCTGGCTTCTCCCAGGAACGGCCGCTCGGCGCCCGGCCGCGGCGCTTTGGCTCGGCGGGTGGGCGCGACGCGGGGACCGCCCGTTTCAGCCGGCGCTGCGTGCGGCCCCTCCTCGCTGCAGCTGGGCACTCTGGGCGGCGGGAGAGGCTGGTACTTCTGCCTGGCTCTCCCTTCTTAGGCCCCCGGGTCTGCGAAAGTTTGGGACGGGTTGTACGAAATTTCCCCTCGGCTGGCGCATTCCCTGCCGCCCCGCCCCCCCCCCCCACCCCGGCGACTTTCTGCCGGGTTCTCTCACCCTCGTCTCCACTGTGCTTTCTTTCTGGTCCCCCACACACCCCCGCCAGCACTCTGCCCTGCCTCTTCGGGTGCTCTACCCCCAGGGATGACACTTCGAGGCGTTCAGTCCAGGAGCCTGGGGAGCAGAGCTTACGCCTCCCGCCCCGGGATCGCGTGGACATCGATACACCAGCACCCAGCTCGCGTTAGAGGAGACGCACCAACCTCCGCCCGCCACACTTTCTCTCTAGGGAAGAACACCATCTACCGATTTTCCCTTTCGTGCCCAATGCCTGAACAGGCCCCTGGGGCGGGGACCCGAGGAGCAGGTGGAACCGCCGAGTGCCTCGCCCGAGTTTCCTTAAGTGTGTTGACCTCTTCTTGGGGCTAAGGGAATTTTGGTCTAGGTACTCAGTGGGGCAGGTTCACTGCCTCCACTCTTCGCGGAAGGGCGTTTCAACTTCGCACCTGACCCATTTCAGGACCAGAACTGGACACTTTTCCTGGAGTCGCCGTGGGGCGTGCCAGCCGCTAGCCCCGACTAGACGATGATTTCAGTGTCGTTTCCAGACCTGCTCATTTAGCCTTCAGGGCAGGGAGGGGGTCCTCTTTCCTAAATCAAAAGAGCTGAACCCCTTTGGGGACGTAGAGCCCTTAAAGAATCAAATGACAGTTTTGGCCCTTTGGGCGGGCAAAACAACCCACCTAGGTGCACCCAAAATATTGCCTATAGCTGGGGGCAGGGGGAGAGGGTGGGCCGGGTTCCCAAGCCTCCGGACTCGCGGATACCACATTAAGAACAGTTGCCAGGAAGGATCTGCCAGGAAGGAGTCTGGTGAGCGTGGGGAGTCGAGCGCGAAGAGCTGTGGGGCTGCATGTAGCCCGTCCCCCACCCCCGCTGGGTCGCCCGGGTCACGCCTGACGGAGCTCGCCCTAGGGTCGCCGGCAATGCTAGGTTGCGTTTCTCCCGCGCGCTTGGGTGCTGAAAGCACCAAGCCCCTTCCGCCCGGCGCAGCTCGCCGTCTCTCTCTCGCCAAAGCAGGCTCACAGTGCCCCCTAGCGATCGCGCGGCCGAATTTTAACAAGTTGTTCAAGCACCCCTACCCCCAAACTTACTCAGCCAAAGAAGTGAGCTTCAAGGCTTTATATTAGTTCCCCGACCCCCTTTTAAAATACAAATGTTTACAGCAGGTTTACCTTTGTACCCCGACACTGTTTCATAAAGACCTTTGACTTTTAGGAGGAAAATACTCCAGCAGTTTGAACTATGCTGCTAAGAACAGAAGTTACAGCAGGTTATTTATTTGTAATTTACCATACGCCAGGTACTTACACATATCTCCTTATATATGGAAAGCCGTATTATTATCCAGCATCTTACAGAAGAAGAAATGGAGGCACCGAAACATCAATTTGCCCACCCACCCCACCCCAAAGATGTCACTGTTCACGATAGAGCAAGGGCCAGAACCCTGGAGGAATAAATTCAGCGCCTGTCTTCCAGCCAGGAAACTTCCTCGTCTCCAGAGTGTGCTGGGTAACGTGCAGGAAAAATTGGTCTGGTTGTAAGAGGGGAGCGCTTTTTGTGTTTAGACTGTGAAACTGAAAGCTGCAGGGATTTTTAGTGCTGTGGCTTTTTTCTTTCCCCAGTTGTGTGAAAAGTCGAACAGTGTTACCGAGGGGTTCTTTGCTTAGTTATATACAGCTTTTTCCCCTCTGGGAGCTTGAAGACACTCACCTTGATCATTAATCCCCAGTGACGGCAGCAAGTATTTGTATTTCCGTTTTATAATTACGCAAACTTGTTTGGGGGAAGATAAACTACTTGTCCAAGGTCATACAGTAAATCAGGGCAGAGACAAGAAGATACCTGCCATGTCAAAGTGTCTTCCCAACCGGTGGCTGGGATTCTCCCTTTATTTATGTGCAAAGCCACTATCCAATTAGGAAATAAAGCATCCTGGTGCTCCCTTTGAAAGGGAAGGCTTTTATAAATCAATCGCTGTTAATCAGTCATAAATAAAACTTACTGTTACCTGTAGAGAAAGCCTGCTATGTGGAGACTTCACTAGTCTGAACTACTGAGACACTTTTTCCCTTCTACTTCTCTTATTTCCTACACTTGCTCAAGTCTTTTATTTGTGAGCCCTCAAGGCTACTATCTTTCTTCTGCTTTGCCTTAGCATACTGAACCTCTTAATAGATTTAGTTCCAGAGGCAACTACATATAATCGCAAATACAAAAGTTTTATAGGCTAAACAGGAGGGAGAGACACAAGGCTAAAGTCCAAAGTACAACAGGCAGTTTTAAGATTTAGAACTGTAGTGTTTTGGAGCTAGAAGGCCATTCAAGGTCATCTCAAACATCCATATTTACATGAAGGAAGTTGAAGCTCAGGAAGGTCAAATTACTTACCTAAGGTCACACCGCTAGTTTGTGACAGATCTAGGACAGGAACCCAGATCTGTTTCCTCCTATGTTCTTCACAATGCACTGCGTTACCTCATTTTTTGCTGTAAGCGCCTGGCTACTGTCAAAAACATTCATTTACTCATCAAACGTTTATTAAGTAGGCATTTCAGTGCCAGGCACTGAAGCAAAAAGAGATGAGATTTCCTTCATTAATTGGAACTGGAGAGATTTCAGCATTCTAAATATGTAGAGAATAAACCCATAGTTTTTTGTATGTGAGTTCATGAATTAAGAAGATTACAAAGGTGATATTTTCTTCTATCTTTAATTAATTATTCAAATTCCATGAATCTTTACACTAGCCAAAATGTGTAATTAAACTATTTTACATCCAGACAGAAATGTATTTAAAAAAAAACAAGTGGCTATTATGTTTCTAGGCACAGCCTTGGAACACCAAATTAATTTACTTAACACACATTGTCGAGTACCTATAATTTTACAAGTATTTTCAAGTGGTATTGCTTTATTAGAATCTTTTTCTTTTTATAAAAATGTTCAAAACATTTATAATGCTGATTATTATTTAATATGTTTGGAGCCAGATTTTTTTTGCAGAGAGGACTCCTTGCCTGATGAAAATTAATGGGAAAATAGGTTGTAGACAACGTTTCTTTTTGTAGGCATTCTTTGAGAACTGTTCTGTAACGGTAATAACTATGGCAAAATGCCTGTTGATACTCAGTGTAATAAATTAATGATAATTATATTCAAGTTTTAAATTCTAAATCTCAAAAGACAGCTTTTCTACTTTGCTCAGACTCTGTAAACTGACCTAAGGATATAGAGTGAAAAACAATTTGTTTTGAAATTTTCTCGGTGCCACTTAAGGTTTCATACCACTTTTTTTCGGAATAAATTGTTTGCATGTAGGGTGTGTAAAAATTAATTTCCATTAATATCTATTAAACATCAGTCCCCATTGTGTCTAGGCTTGTAGAAGTCAAGGATATATAATATTAATCTTAAAATGCAGAATATGTCTTGCCTCTGTTTAAACTATGAGCTAAAAAGCATCTAGGAGGAGCGGATGCCATAGGGAGAAAGGAGAATAATGGACTTGAGTGATGTAATAGGCAATGCGTTCTCTGGTGGCTGGGAGTCAGACGTTGGGTTGGCAACTTAATTGGGGGCAGGCTGGGCGGGGGCACCTGTTAATATGTCTGAGCTGTATACATTATACTTGTGTGTGACAACACGTATATGAAAGAAGGAGAGACACGAAGCAGTAGGGAGTAGCAGCAGGATTCCATTAGATTATTCATTTCTATTATAACAGACCTTTCTTTCTTTAAGGAAGGAACAAAGGGTAAAAAAAAAAAAATGTTCAAAAAAGTCAGAGACCTGGAGATCACTAACAGAAAAAGCCAAGCAAGAGA